AAAATACCTGCATGTGCCAGAGCACGCATCTGAAATTCGATAACCTGAGTATTGGTTACAACATTTATTAATACACCATGCTCGAAAATGTCTTTTAGGAAATTATTTAATTTGACTTTAACTAACTAAGTCAGGTCAATCATTTGTAGTCTGGCCTTGATATAAATTTCTCGCACCATTTAGGTTTGCAAGTAAAAGTAAGGCAAAGATCTGATTTACCATACTTTAATGATAGCCATAGCATTTTCAAAGTTTTCTTTTAAAGCAAAAGGGCTTCTTTTATAGATTGATGGCAAAACTACGAAAAACCTTGGTCTAACATTATGCTCGTTTTCATGGTTGTGCATATGTTCAGGTAAGACATCATACTATTATCTTCGCAGTTTGTTCTGATTATCTAAAAAAACGTTTCCCTTCAATTTTTACGTAGGCATCATCAGAATATTGCTGAAATAGTTTTTTGCCATAGAATATTAAACAGAAGTTTTTTTCTATTTTTTATCAAAAAAACTTGTTTTATATTTTATGGCAAGTTTCTGTAATTGTCTAACTGATTTTATACTGAAGTTTATATTTTTAAAACTGAGATAATGTATGTAAAAACAATTTTCTTAGAAGCAGATGAAGCACCATTTTCTCCAACAAGTACAACTGTAATTCACTATGAGATGGAAGATTATAACGACGCTTATCAGGTCATTCAAGTAAAGCCATTTTTAGTGAAACTGATTGACCTTCTGTAGTTGTTTGGCAAATTTCTTAATCTTCTACTTCAGCCATGTTTTTAAATGCATGAGAAAATGGGTTCTGTTCACTAACTATAGTTTACAAATGAAATTTTAAATCATGAATTTACTGCTGCAATAGGGAAATAATTTTTTTTTTTTTTTTTTTTTTTTTTTTTTTTTTTTTTTTTGCAAGAGGATAATATTTTTTTTTTTTTTTTTTTTGCGGAAACGAACGTTAAAGCGAACAGACGCTTTTTAACAGCTCTTCAAATATTTATCAATCCATTCTACTTAAGTAGTTATAGGTTATTAAAATCAAATATGAACGATAAACTTATTTATTATATAAACTTATTATTAAAATAAAAGGTAAATCTAAGATGTCAGTTACTCTTGTAGAAGTTAAAAAAACGCTTAAGGAAATGTTTTTATAATATAGAAATGAAATGGAAACAATGCTTAAACAACAACAACAAATATTTATTGATATCTTAAGCCCAAATACAAAAATAATTAACGAGATACTTGATAAAGTAGAAGAAAACTCTAAAAAAAGTGCAAACAAAATATAGATAATAGTAAAAGATATCGAAGACGTAAAATTGAGCTTAAATTTTCATGATAAAGTTTTTGACTAAAAAGTCGCAACTATTCACAAACAAAACAACTAGCGAGTAGAAAAAGAAAATACTACAACGCAAAATATAAATGAAAAACTAAGTAAGTTTAAAAATAGATAGAGAAGAAATAATTTAAGAATAGACGGGTTACCAGAAAGTGTGAAAAAACATGGAATGAAACTGAGAATAAAGTTAAATTATTTTTAGTAAATAGGTTGAGGCTAAATGGAATAGAAGTCGAACGAGCTCATCGAACTGGAGCCAGAAAAGAAGGAAGCTCCAGAACAGTTATTATGAAGTTGCTAAGATACAATGAAAACAAAAATTCTACAAGAGTCATATAGACTTAAAGGTACAAACATTTATTTAAACAAAGATTTTTTCCATGAGAAACATGGTGCAAAAACAAAAAAAACCATAAACTCAAATTTTCAATTACAAAGGTATAAAGCTCTCCATCAAACTTGTAGTAGAGGTACTGGCGGAGAAATATGTTTCTACATACATGATACAATACACTTTAAAAAAGTAGATAGCCTCAGCATACTGAACGCAAACTGTAAACTTTTCACGGTTGAATTAGCGAACCAAAGTAAAGCAAACGCGTATATAACTGGCTTAAATAGACCACCAGATGGCAATAAAAAATCTTTTAAAAAACATATAATTCAGTACCTAGAACTGGCTAAAAATAAGCACTTATACATAATTGGATATACTAACTTGGATCTTTTAGAAATAAAAACTTATAACAATGTCATACGCTTTTTAAATAATCTCTTACAGCATGGCGTAGTACCCTTAATAAATAAGCCAACTCGAGTAACTATCTGAACTGCTACCCTAATCGATAACATATTTACAAATAATACCATAAAATATAACATTCAAATCGGAATATTAAAATCTGACTTAAGTGATCATTTTCCAATAAAGTAAATATATTATTTTTACAAAATTATTAAAATCTGAAACCCTCCCATTAAAACTGTCTTATTTACTAATTGATAAAACTAAACTTTAAGGAGAATACTCAATCAAAATTGTAGGCGTAATACTTAACAAACATATTAGCTGGAATAATCATATCAAAGTCATAGAAAATAAAAATCTAAAGTGATTGATATTATGTATAAAACAAAACATCTCCTGAACCCAAGTTGTTTAAAAAATATATATATTGCATTTATTTATAGCTACATCAGTTACTGCAACATAATCTGGGCAAGTACTTATCCTTCAAAGTTAAATATGATCTACAAAATACAAAAACGAGCAATTCGCTTGATATTAAATGCTAATAAATACGCTAGTGCCAGACCACTACTAAGAGAAATTGGAGTGCCTAATGCCTATGAAATAAATATTCTTAATATTTTTTATATTTAAGTTTAAAACGGTATGCTATCAAACATTTTCCAAACCTACTTTTTTTCTTTAAACCTAAAATACGAAACTAAATACTCAACAAATAATTTTATTATACCAAAAACGTTATCAAAACAAGCTGATTTTTCAATATCTTGTCGAGGACCGCGTTTATGGAACTTGCTTTTAACAAGTAATATAAAAACTTTAAATTCATTTCAATATTTTAAACGTGCAACAAAACTACACTTTCTTGATTTTGATACAAAGCAACTACTATTATTAAAAACTTTTTATAGTTTTAGTTATTTAATGTCTTATAAATTGACGCAACATCTTAATTATATTTTATGATATTTAAAACATGTTTGAGTTTATCATATTTTACATTGTTAACCCAAATTGTAATTGCAATATTTATTATATCTTACGCAATTTGTAGATAAAATATATAACAGATTAATTTGATTTTGTATTTATATATTTATGAACGGACATATTTGTGTGTACATATTTGTGTGTACGTGAACACACATATTTGTGTGTACGTGTGGGTATGAGTGTGTGTGCGTGTATAATAAAAGTAAAAATAGAACATAATAGAGAATTAAAAAAAATAACAATGAGAAGAAATAATAGTATTTTTTTCTTTTTTTCTGCAAATAGCAAATTGATTTTTAAATCAGTTATTGATTTAGTTTTTTTTTTTCCTTTTTCACTTTTATCGTAGTTATATTAACGGGGCTGGATGATAAGACCACGTCTTCTGTCAGCTCCGGTCAAAACTTTAATATTATACTTTTATGTTGTAAAAACATTGTAAAAGATTATTTTTTAATGACGAAAAAAAAAATAACGATATACAGTTGAAAATGGGTGAGGATTATTTTAATAAGAACTAATATGACCAACACGATGAAAAACATGACCACATATTTTAAAAACATGATAATTTATGGTTTATGGGTTAAGCCACATAGCTGTAAATGAAGCAGAAGAAAAAGAGACATATTAATATCTAACATACCTAAAAAATTTATTTTTTAATAATGGTCTACATAACTTCGTGTGAAAAAATTTAGTAAAACTTGTGGAAATGGAAAGAGTAGAGTCAAAACTACCTTTCTTTTATATCAACAAAAAAATGTGTTCCATGTTTTTATAGATCTACAATGCACAAACTTAGCTCATTTCTCCTATATAATCATAAATTGGAAAAAATTACTTTTTATTATAAATGGCATTCTTCTATATCTAGCAGCATTTTTTTTTTTTTTTCATTTTGTAGATGATTTATCTCATAAAAACATTAAGTTAATTACAAAAACAAAAAAGAACAAATAGGATGTAAGAGTTGTAGACATGTTTTTCATTTTAATTATAATTAGAATATAGAAGATAACCCTAGCAGATGTAACAGTAACATATGCAACTATAGTAATCAAACAAATAAAGAATGAAATAAAAAATAGACATTTTTGTTTTAATTAGGATATATTTGCAACATAGCAAAAAAAAAATAATATAAATATAAATTAATATAAATCAAAATTTCAAAACAAAAATATAAGCGTTATAGAAAAAGAATCACACACAGATTGTTGAAAGTTATAAGAACTCGTGGTCTTTCTTAAACAACGCGCGTAGTTTAGAAAAAGGTCTACTATACAGAAAATAGAACTATTATACAGAAAATAGAACGTTAAACATTCATTAACATTAAACGCTCATTTAAAGAACAAAAATAATATACGCCCAGTTTAGAAAATAAAAAGTTCTTATGAACTTTTTTAGAATCATAACTAACTCAATAACTAACGACATTAGGCATTAACTACAAAAACTATATAAAGATTATGACTATTATTAATAATTCCTATAACACTAATACAAAACAAATATATATAACTAAAAAACTAAAATCAAATAACATTGCTCTCATTCTGAACCCCCTCTCTCCCTTAATCATTCGTAAATTACAATAATAAATGTTATTTATTATGGCTTTTAAAAAATTTTGCAGTTTGAAAACATTTCATTGGTTACTTAAAAACTTATTGTCTTTTACTTGCTTTTTCTTTAAATTCACAGTACGTAATGACAAACATTGGATAATTTTTTTGACACTTTATAAAATACTTACTTTCAATAAAGTTTAAGAATGTGATGTTAACTTTACTTTTTATATTTGTAAAATAGTTTTAATTTTACTTTCGTAAAAAATTAAGTTAATAAAAATATATATTTTAATTTTAAAAAAATCATAAAAGTTATATTAAAATTACATTATTATAACAAACAGCATTTTTATATTCTTTAAAACAAAAGAAAATTTAAATGGGAAGCTTAGATCAACAAAAGTGTGGTGGATACAATGCACAATTTTTACAAGAACTTTCAGACGAACATGAATGCCCTGTGTGTAAAATGGCCCTTCGTGAACCTGTTCTAACACTGTGTGGTCATCGACTTTGTTTTTCATGCTCAGAAGAAATGAAAAGAAGGTATTGAAATGAGTTTAAAATTACTTAATGTGATATGCAAAAAAAACACAGCTAATGTAATTAATATATATATATATATATATATATATATATATATATATATATATATATATATATATATATATATATATATATATATATATACATATATATATATATATATATATATATATATATATATATATATATATATATATATATATATATATATATATATATATATATATATATATATATATATATATATATATATATATATATATATATATATCATGGCCTACTTAAATTACACGGCCTGATTTGTTGCATTTTCCGTAAAAAAATAAGAGGCCAGTTTTTTTAAGGCTCAAGAATAAAAACTTAATTTTCGCTATGGTTATGAGTTTTGTTTGCACTATAATTGGTTTACTCTGATTTTATTAAAATGGTTTAATAATAGTTAGATTTTGTTTGAGTACTTACATTATTTTGTGCTGGTTTTTTTGTTAACTGATTGCCTGCTTTAGTTTTTTTTTTTTTTTTGTTTGTTTTTTTTTTTAACATCTTCACTTCCAACAAGGCTGCAAGCAACCACTATAAGAGTTGGAAGTTACTGGAAGAGAAAAGACTAAAACTGTAGAGCAAGATAACGATTGACTGATGACTTAAAAGATTGCAAATTATATGAATCAGGAAAGCAAGATGAAGGAAGCGAATTCCAAAGAACTGATGTTCGAGGAAAAAAACTAGAAGAATAAGAGTTTTTAAAGCACTTAGGAACAGTCACAGAAAAAGGATGAGACTTAATTGAATGGCGAGTAACACGAGAATGAATTTTAGTAGATGGCACAAGGGACGTTAGCTCTTTAGAGCAGTGCCCATTATAGTATTTGTAGAAAAGAGAAAGAGAAGCGACATTACGACGATGTGACAAAGGTTGGAGATTGGCTACCTGAGCAGGTCCAACTATGTTTACAATTCGTTTTTGCACCTTGTCTAAAAAAGAAAGAGCATCATTAGGAGATCCGCCCCAGATGTGGCAACAGTATTCCATACAGGGACGGGTTTGAGATTTATAGAGATAGAGAATAGAATCTGGAGTAAGAAAGTGTCGAGCTCGATAAAGAGATGCAACCTTAGCAGATGCTAATTTTGCAATGGATTTGATATACGGTTTAAAAGAAAGATCAGAAGTAAGAGTTAATCCTAGAAGATGAATGGTAGATGACTCATCTAGTACATTACCATTCATAAATATAGGAAGATCTAAACTATTACGATAACGATTGGCCGAATAAAATTGAGTTTTATCTGAATTAAAGTTCACCAGCCACTATGAGACTCATGCTGTAGCATAAGTGAGATCCTTTTCAAGCTCAGATACCCCCTCCAAGCAATCAGAGAGTGTAGGCTTCTTATCACGACAAGAGTAAATGGTAGTGTTGTCAGCGAATAATGCCACTTTAGATGTGAGAATATCTGGAAGATCGTTAATGTAAATTAAAAAGAGTATAGGGCCAAGGATTGAACCTTGAGGAACCCCTGAAGTTACAGGATGTGAAGAAGAGTGTTGTCCATCGAGGACAACTTTTATACTACGATTGGAAAGAAAGGACTCAATAATCTTAAAGACGTTACCAGCTACACCATAAGAAGAAAGCTTATGGAGAAGACCAGCATGCCAAACTTTATCAAAAGCTTTAGAAATGTCAAGTGCGATAGCCTTAACCTCTCCACCTCTACCTAATGCACGGTAAAACCTATCGGTTATTACTGTTAGCACATCAGCTGTAGAACGAGAAGACCGAAATCCATATTGATGATCAGAAAGTAAGTTATTTGATTCAAGATGAGAGATTAAGTGTTTGATGATTAAAGATTCAAAAACCTTGCTTATGACAGGAAGAAGACTAATGGGACGGTAGTTAGATGAATCAGATCGCTCTCCGGAATTTTTGAAAATAGGGATAACAGATGCTGCTTTCCAGCATGATGGAAAACAAGACTCTGATAAGCACTTGTTAAATAGTTTAGAAAGTATGGATAAAAGCTCCGGAGAACACCTCTGCAAAACTACAACAGGAATGTTGTCAGGACCGCAAGCTGTTGAAGAGTCTCAGCTGGAAATTACTTTAGATACAGAAGCTGAAGTGATGCGAATGTCAAGCAAGGGATCAACCTGTTTGACGGCTATGTCAGGTAAAACGCAACTAGTGGAATCAAGAGATGATATTGATGAAAAGTTCTTAGCAAACAACTCAGCTTTGTCTTTAGGTGAGGTGACAAAGTCTGAACCATACAAGAGAGAAGGAATAACAGATTTGCCCTTATTATTGATACTGTTAAAGATTCTCCAGAAGTCTCGAGAGCCTAATTTTTGTGACGAGATACGAGATTTAATGACCTGGGAATAGATATGGAAGTAATGGTTTCGATTAGAAATTGCTGCAGCGCAATGTGAGGAAAACCAAGGAGAAGAGTGAGGCTTGACCTGGAATCGTCGAGAGGGAATAAAAGATTCCATGCCAGCCTGAATTCACGAAGTTATGTAAGAAGCACATTTGTCAGCAGGAAGACGAAAGATTTCTACCCAAGGGCCATCACGAAGAAAATCACGGAAAGAGTCCCAGTCAGCTTTAAGGTAGTATGTGGTACGATGATAGGGGGATTCTGATGAAGTAGAAGAATTTGATAATAGTTTTAGAGAGATCAAAACGTGATCAGAAGTACCTAAGGGTGAATGTGGAGAAATTGAGCACTGACTACGATCCAAAACAAGACATAAGTCGAGTAGAGAAGGTAAATGATTAGGGTTATCTGGAAAACGAGTTGGAAAGTTGACTATTTGAGTTAGAGATTGAGAAAGGCAAAAGTTGAGGGCCTTAACGCCAGCAGAGTCAATGACACTAGAGCCAAGCCAATCGGTGTGATGGGCATTAAAGTCACCAACAACGACGATATTGGCCGATGGATAAAGAGAGAGGGCTTGGTCGATTTCATCAGAAATAACATCAAGAATAGTGCAATCTTGGGATGAAGGAGAGCGATATAGAACAAAGAGAAAGGCGATAGAGTAAAGTTGTGCTAAACGAAAGCACATAAATGAATAGTCTGTAGATTCAAACCTAGTTTCACGACAAATGGGTGAGTTCTTACGAATGTAGATGCCCAGGCCAAGCATGTGATTATTGGAGTCTTTACGAATTAAAGGAAGATAACCATCAACACTAAGATCACAAGATGGGACAGCCGAACTCAAATTAGTCTCACAAAGAGCAAGTAGGTCTGGTGAACTTTGCAAGAGATAAGACTCAACAGAAGAAAAGTTACTTCGAAGACCACGAACATTAGTAAATGATAGGTTTAGAGAACTTGGTGATGACGATGGTTTTTTGTGTTTTTTAGTTTTAGGTACTTTAGTCATTTTAAATTTATAAAGAACTTGACTCAATTATAAATAGTACTCAGTACACTATTTAACAACTAAGCAATAGCCTCATTACTATTAATATACCCTAAGCCGTAACAAAGGGCTCCAAATGTGGCCTCTGCAATGCACACCAAAAGTACAAACAGGGACACCATCCATGCGCAACATGGCACTGTTAATACTCTGATATTTTTCGGCTGTTGATAGAATCAACCTCTCTGAGAGCTACCACAGAGTTCGGGAAACCTGACTACCAGCCGGCCTCAGAACCATAAAACTGAGTTTTAGAGCTGTATCCTCATTAGGAGATAATAGAATGAAATGCCCAGTCATAAAAATAGAGACACAAGCAATACCCACGCATTGAGTCAAGAAGATCCAGCGTTCAACATTCTAAACTGGAAACAAGTTATTAATAATACATCTGCGCCAGCCTAATAGATGAGGAAGGGGTGCGAGGCTGGTCAACAGATAGAATCTGTTTACCCCTTAAGTCTTTGCCTAGGAGGCCTTCTACAAGACAGCAGCTGGATGCATGTAACATCTGCATCCAGCTGCTGTCTTGTAGAAAAAAATTCTTCTTTTTCATTTGATTTTTCCAGAGACTATGTAATGTTACTGCTAGTTACATTGCAGGGAATATATTTCTTAAAGTTTATTAAGAGATTAATAATTAAACAGGCAAGTAAAATGATTTATCAAGTCACATAGTTTGATGTATCAAATCAAACTCAGCAAAGCTGATAACAAACCCACACTTTATAGAGAAATTGCAAATAGCTCTGAAGTTTAATCAAAATAAAATTTGATAAGTATTTGCATTAACCAAAAAAACTTCTTGTGCTCTTATATTAACCCTACAAGCAACTGTATCTCTTATGAATGATTTTTTTGAGGAAGGCTTTGCAGTTGTTCTTAGTTCTAATTTACAAAGTAATCTTTTGGAGCTAGGTTTTAGTAAGTATAATTAAAAACATGCATTAGTAAAAAAGTAAGTATAATTAGAAACATGCATTAGTAAAAAGATTTTCGCGGATTTTCCCAAAAAATATTTTATCAAAATTTTGATAATCATTTAAAAAATTATGCAAGATTTAGCTTAGTTGTCTACATAATTACTAGTGTCAGCTTTTTAAAAATAGCACAGATTTATATACTAAAGCAAGGAATAAATGTAAAAATTAACAAAAAGATTTTTATGCTAAATTTAAGATTAATAAATGTTACTTTATTCAGAGAAGAACCTTTATATGCAATTCAACATGTCTAACTTTATTTGTCTTCTGTTTAGTATTTTATGTTATTTCTCTTATTCAAATAAAAAATTACAGTCATTCTTTTTCAATTAAAAATTTGCAAAACAAATTTTATAGATTTGTTGTAGCAATGACAATTTTACAATGAAAAGCACCAAAAGTGGGGAATCAAATAAAGATCTCGTATTGTTAATAATATTTTTATAACAATTTGCAAAAAGAAGTTACATATTCATTGAGTAAAGATCAAGTGAAAAACTTTCAAAAAAGGCTAAGACAAAATAAATATTCCTAGTAAAAAGGTATTTCTTCTTTTAACTTCAATTATAAAAAATACAAAACTACAAACCTTTGATTTTTTTTTTCAATGAAGAGTTTGAGACAATCTTAGCAACATGTAAGGTTATTTTTAGTAGCATGTTGGTGTGTGTTGATATAGCTATCTGAAAGCCTATTTTAGTATTCAATGTTATTAGAATAAACTGTAACAGGCGATCAGTTAACAAAAAATCCAGCACAAAATAGTGTGAGTACTCAAGTAAAATCTAACTATTATTAAACCATTTTAATAAAACAAGAATAAACTAATTATATTGCAAACAAGACTCATAACCATATAGAAAAATAAGTTTTTATACTTAAGCCGTAAAAAAACTGTCCTCTTAATTTTTTCCGGAAAATGCAACAAATCAGGCCGTCTAATTTAAGTAGGCCATGATATATATATATATATATATATATATATATATATATATATATATATATATATATATATATATATATATATATATATATATATATATATATATACTACTGTGATCAAAAAGTAAAGTGAATTTTTTTTTAAAATGAAAAACCTTTATTTATTCTTTCAAATCTGTATCGTCCCCCTCAAAATAATCTCCCCCCCCCCCGGCTCCAATGCACTTTTGCCAACATTTTTTCCAGTTTTTGAAGCATGCCGAAAAGTCCTCGGTAGGGATAGCCTTCAATGCGCGTGCCGATTCACGTTGGATCTTTTCAATGGACTCAAAACGATTTCCCCGGAGTGGTCTCTTGAGCTTTGGAAACAGTCAGAAGTCACACGGTGCTAAGTCGGGCAAATACGGTGGTTGTGGAGCAACATGGGTAGAGTTTTTGGCGAAAAACTCACGAAGAACCAGAGCTGTGTGCGAAAGCGCATTATCGTGGTGCAAAATCCAAGAGTTATTGCCCCATAATTCCGGTCTCTTTTTGCGAATAGCTTCACGCAAACGTCACATAACGCTTAAATAATATTCCTTGTTGACAATTTGGCCAGTTGGAAGGAATTTGTAGTGCACGAACAACAATAATCAAAGAAAACAGTCAACATGACCTTGATTTTTGAGCGACTTTGACGTGGTTGCTTCGGTCTCGGCTCGCCTTTTTCACGGTATTCACTCGATTGGTCGGTTGTTTCAGGGTCGTATGCGTAGACCCAAGTCTCATCGCCAGTTATAATTTGTTTGTAGACGTCTTGATAGTCAGAAAGCATTGCTTCACACGCTTTAACGCGACACTCTTTTTCAAATAAATTGAGAAATTTTGGCACCAAACGTGATTTGAGTCTTCTGAGGCCCAAATGATCCTTCAAAATCGCTTACACCAACCCAAATGATATTCCAACCATGTCAACAAGGTCTCAAATGGTTAACCGACAACTTGCAAGCACCAATTCTTTGATTTTGTTGATGTGGCGATCATCAATCAAAGTCGATGGTCGTCCGGAGCGTTCTTAGTCATCAACACGTTCTCGGCCTTCTTTGAAGTCTTTGTACCAATTGTAAACATTTTTTTGAGGCATAGTCTCTTCACCGAAGGCTTTTTGCAACATTCGATACGTTTCAGCAACAGAAATATCATTCCGCAAACAAAATTTAACAGCACTTCTTTGCTCAACAAAATTAGACATCGTGAAAATCGCCTAATGCACTTTTGGTACTTCAGAAACAAGCGTAAACAAAAAAAAAATAATTATGAGTTTGACATGTAATTTGGCGCAAATGTTAATGACATTCCTACCAACTTAAAAATAAAAAAGATTGCACGATTCGAATAAGGCGGAAAGTTTAAATTAAAAATTCACCTTACTTTTTGATCACAGTAGTATATATATATATATATATATATATATATATATATATATATATATATATATATATATATATATATATATATATATATATATATATATATATATATATATATATATATATATATATATATATATATATATATATATATATATATATATATATTTATATATATATATATATATATATATATATATATATATATTTATATATATATATATATATATATTTATATATATTTATATATATATATATATATATATATATATATATATATATATATTTATATATATATATATATATATATATATATATTATATATATATATATATATATATATATATATATATATATATATATATATATATATATATATATATATATATATATATATATATATGCATGAAACACACCTTTTTTCGTCGTAGAATAATATTTGACATCGAAAATTAGCTGTGTAATTTATATAACATAATTATTTATATAGCATAAGTATTAGTAAAATACAAAACTTTTTCGTTTTTAGAAATAATGGAGTTTTATTTTGCCCATTAGACAAAACCATTTTGAACTCTGGGGAGGTTAGTTTGTTATTTTAGTTTTTAATAAAGTCTACTTAAATAAAAAATAAAAAAATTAAATAAATATATTTAAAAGAAAATTATAAAAAAATGCTTCTTAAGAAATATTGATAAAATGTTTTTTTTTTTTCAGATTTTTCCTGATAAATTTACTGAAAGAATTATTCTACAATTGAATATTAAATGCGATAACTTTTTAAAAAGTTGTCAATGGACCGGGGAACTAAAAGCAATTAATGTATGTTTTTTAAGTTTTGATGTAAAATATAATATACTTAAGTCTAGCTTTTTTTAAACATATAAGTTATTTTTTATGATCTTGAAAGTAAGTTATAAAAAAAAATTAATAGCTTAATAATAAACTTGGAAAGTCCATGATTTTCTAATTCACTATAGTGTGCTATCTGCTAACAGTCACGAAAAAAGGTTTATAATATTGATGCAATGAAAAATTTAAAGGGCTAGGGGTGCACGAAGCAAACTTGAGTATGACATGTAAACAAAGTATGACAATACTTTTTCAGGATATTTTAAAAAAAAGCATGAGCAATTGCGTAAATTACACTTGGAAATTTAAACATTGAGTTGAAAAAGACATAAAGAACTAAAAAGGCGTTGATTTGAATAATGCAATTTAACTATATATTTTCAAATTATATATATGTAGTTTATTACTTTAAAATATTAAATACCAAAAATATATTAAAAGTTGTAACAAAAATAAAAATTTATACTTATTATAAAAAGCTGCTGGTTTAGGTAAACATACTTTTAACTAGTCCAAGTCTCTAAAAGGTAAAAACTGTTTAAATTCATTTTTAAATGCGCGTAAATGCGTCTATTCATTTCTATATGCGCGTTTACTCAATCTTATATGCGTATTTAATCAATCTTATATGCCTATTTATTTATTTTTATTTGCATTTATTTATTCTCATATGCGTACTTATCATACTTATATGCGTTTTAAATAAACAAAGTTTTTTCAGAAACAAGTGTTCTTATTTCCTAGTAAACGAGGTTAAAAATACAAAACCGAAGACTTTTTACATTTGATGATGTGTTATTTAAGGTACAAACTGCCCTATCTACTTGATATAGTATTAGGTTTTTGTTTAATTTTATTATTACGAAGAACATGGAAAAAATTTTGGTACTTCGTTAAGTATGCTATGCGGTTATCACCAAAGAATAAATGTTGGACACAAGATTGTTATTATTTATAATTTATTAAAAATATTTTTACTAAAAAAAGAAAGTTTATATCCAGCAAGGTTGCTAGCAACCACTATATATGTTGGTAGTTAATAGATAATAAAAATGCAAATAAAGAGCAAGAAAGTGATTGACAGAAGAAGTAAAACCTGGAAGCTATAAAACAAATATGAAGATGAAATATATTTTTTAAGCACGGATGTTCAACAAAAATACCATATGAATAGAAGTTTTTTAAGCATAAAGGAAAAATTACAGTAATACATTTAAATGACAAATTACGCAAGATTGCGTTTTGGTTGATTAAACAAGTAATAATAGCTTGCAAGATAAACAAACATAGCACTGTTTGTAAAAAAATTAAAAAAAAAAAGCATTTATTCTTTCAACAATTAATTAAAGTTTCATGCCTAGCAGTTTGAGCAAGTTTTAGCAATTTGAGCAGGTTCATAAATATTTATAATGCGTCTTTAGACCATGGTTGTCAGATAAACAACATAAATAAAACAAATAGGCCAAATGAAACCACACTATTCTATAAAAGAAAAACTAAGATATATCTAGATATAGTGAACAGTATCAATTGGTAGAAAAATAATTAAAAGTAATTAGATTTTATCTATTGCGCGAAACAACCTTTCGGTTATCAATTTAGCTGCAAAACACTTAACAAGTTTGATGTGAAACGAGAGGATCAAAACTTGTATTGGTTTTCACAAAGTAAGTTGTCAGGCTTAAGATAACTTTTTAGAAGTTTCTTAATTAAAGATTTTCAAATTTTTTTAATAATTGCGCTAAAGAATTAAAATAAAAACAAATGAAAAAATAATAAAGAAAAAAGAAAAAAACAATTTGTTAATAAAAACTAATAAAAAGAAAAAAGTATATATCTTTTAATCAATATTGGAACCAAGTCTACACTAATGCAGAAAAACTTATTACTTTGTTTTCGATATGATATATTTCGCAATGACCCATTAAATCAAGAAAAAGCGTTTTGCTCTTTTTATATTAAAGTACTTTTGATGTTGACTTAGTTTGCTTCTATCGTCTGCGTAGTTTCTGATACGTTTGTAGCCTTTTTTTACTTTTGTTTTTTGTTAATGGCTCAAACTTTATTGATTGTTTTGGCTTCAGTTAAAACTTCTTCTTTATTTCTTACTTATAGCTTCTTTTAGGTTTCTTGATATATTGACCATAGTCATCAATTTGTTGCAGAAATATTTTTATTGCAGATTCTAACCCAATTTTAATTGGGATGCGTGTTTTGTTAAAATATTTAACTAAAAAATTTGACATTTTTAAGTTAAATATTATAACTGAACAAAAAATTTAGTGTCGAAGAAATTGAAGACGCCTGTGCAGTTTAGCTCATGTGGTAAATCTTCAAATGTTTTTGTCATTTTAAACTCTGATAGGTTGATATTAGATTAAGTAAAAGGAAATAATCATGCTTTTTGAACGCAAAAAAACAGGGTTATTATCTTCTGATAAAACACATACCACTTTTATAAAAACCTTTGAATAAACTTGGAAAATTAGCTTTATTTCCGTTTTTGCGTTTCATAAATACATTTTAATCCGGTTTTACAAGTACGACTAATGTCATAATATATTCCAATGTCCAGTGGCTGCAAAATATATGTTATAAAAAGTGCCTTGTAGGTAGATAAAGTCAAACGTTGTTTTCTTTAAAGTTTTTTATAACATTTAATGATACATAAGTGCTGTGAATGCAATACAAGAGTGTTTTACCCCTCTATCCTTTTAACTGCTGGTATTAACAGCTGCTCCAACCATTCAATAAATTGAAATTTAAACCATCCAATAAACATCTTTTAAGTGATATTCTGAGCCTTTCGGACCGTTTTTGCATTATGATTGATATATGTTTTCTTTTGATGATACACAAATGCATATGTTTATGATGTAATCATAAACAAATAAAAACGTATAATGCTTTAAATGATTTAGAGTGCGCTTTATTCATTTTTGGCGTAATATTGAACTTTTTCCTAGATCACCACTGTAACTACAATCATTGCGGTTCCATATATATGAAGCTTTTAATTTATCGATTTTGAATTTCATCGTATTGTTTCTTGTAATTTTTAAAATACTTTTTAATTATATTGGAAGTTCAAGATGACGTACCGACAAGAAATTTTATTGTGGGCCATGTATGGCATTTGCATGTTAACCATATGCTTACCACTCTTCTTTATGGGATGGCGTTGATGCGTAATATATGTGGCTATAATGTTTATCCCATTAAAACCTTACTAAATAAAAACGAACGCCACGCTTCATTTGTGCGTGAAAGTTTTATGTGGCCCACGTGTGGAAAGCACATGTTAGCCATATATTTACCACCCTCCTTTATGGGATGGCGTTGATGAGTTTCATATGTGGCTATAATGTTTATCCCACTAAAAACACACTAAATAAGAGCAAACACCACACAACAAATGCATGAAGAAGTCACATTTATTTTTTTAGTTTGTCATCTGATAAATTTATATATCCTATCAGTTTGCCCTATACATAATCAAAAAAGACCATTTAAATAAAAATAATCATAAGGATTATAAGACGATTAAATGCACTAAATATATTTTTTTTTTTTTTTTTTTTTTTTTACAAAATAATAGGGTTGATTAGGGTAATATGAGCACCTTTTTAATATGAGCATACTTAAAGATTTATTAGATTTAAGCAGTGAAGTTAAAGTTGTTTTATGTTTTTCGAATCGACTTTATGTGGTAATAACAGGAATCAGTACAATTAGCGTAAATTTATATGCAGTAACTAGCGGATATCATCTAATTAAAACGCTTTTAAATTTTTTGTTAAAAAAAATCATTACGCGTGACTAATTCTGTGGCGCGATTTTTTGTTGCTAAAATAATGAAATTATTTTTTTCATAAAGAAAAATATATTAGCTAAAAATCCAATTCATTTTTGTTTGAAAAATAATGCATAGAAACATTTATTTTTGACTTTATTTAAAGATACTATTTTTGTGTAATATGAGCATGCTCAAAAAAACCCAGTGCTTTTCATTGAAATTGCTTAGTTTAAAGTCCTAAAATAGCAGTGGTTTTTAATTGCTTCTTGAATAAAATCAAAACATAGTAAAAAATTTTAATATATTAACAATACTAAATATTTTTCTGTAACTTAAATCTGAAAAATTTTAATTTTTATTGCTCAAAGGTTTGAGTTAACAAAATTGAAAAAACAATGTATTAATTTTTTTTTTTTTTTTTTTTTTTTTGCGGAAAACAGTAGTATTGTTTCTACAAAATGTAGCTTAAAATTTGATCTCTTAATGATATGTTTTGTTAATCACAAATCCTTATATTCCAACAATTAGTTCTATTAAATAGGTTGGTCTTTTTTTACTTAATTAATGCTATTTTTTTGAGCTAATTTAAAGTGCTCATATTACCAAGGGGTCAGGGTAATACGAGCACTTTTGCTACTTTTTTAAAACCTCGGTGTTTTTTTAAAAAAATGTCAAGTGCCCAAATATCTAAATAGATTATGAATAGGGATCCCCAAAAATTGTTTATTTTCAAAAATTTTCGATCCAGCATATTTATTTTTGAAAATATTCCAATTTTTGCTTAAGGTATATTATTTTAGGTATATTACCCTATATTATAGATATATTACCCTAATCTACCCTAAATATTTACAAATTTTATAAACTATTTCGGCGTTATAAACAAATATAATTTCTTTACAATTAAAGAAATATTTCCGTTTTATATATATATATATATATATATATATATATATATATATATATATATATATATATATATATATATATATATATACCCGAGAAAAAAAAACCCGCTAATCCTGTTAAGTTCCTAATAAGTTTCCTACTAAAACTTAGTAAGTTCCCGCCGAGTACTTACTAGGAACATAGTAGGATTAGCAGGTTTTACTAGGAAACTTAGTAGGATTAGCAAGTTTTAGTAGGAAACTTAGTAGGATTAGCAAGTTTTTAGAAGGAAACTTAGTAGTATTACTAGGGTTTTTACTCGGAACTTAGTAGGTACTTAACAGGGTTAGTAGGTTTTTTTTTCTCGGTTAAGTATTACTTTCTAGTTTTAGTTAATAGTTTTTTTAGTTAAATTCATACGTTTATTTGGGTTTTATTTAATTATTTGAGTTTTAAAGATTTCATAGATATATTAGTAGGCTTATTTTTCAAGAAATATACGAGTTTAAGTAAAAATAATAATTTTTACTTAAACACAGTATCTTCTTGAAAATATAATCCTTATAATATAACTTAACTAGTCGCTAAGCAATAAGGACGCCTATTTATAAAACAATAATAAAAATAACAAATAATTAAGTGTTAGAATGTTTAAATAGAACATTTAAAAAAATACAATAAACAGCGATGGTTAGTTCTTTTGGTAATTTTCGCGGTGTCAGTGGAATAATTGCACCCATAAGATTTTTCTTAATCTTTTACGACCATAACTGTAGCTATAACGTAATTTATAAAAATATTAATGTAATTCAACAACATAATAACATATATTTTATAACAAAAAAGCATATTTAACTTACCATAAATTTAGAACGATGAAAAAACTTTCATTATCATTGTTTCAAAGCTATTATAATCTAAAATTTCAAAATGAAAAAATATGAAAGTTAAATTTAAAAAATTTAAATAAGCCTCGTGTGTGTATATACACACACACACACATATATATATATATATATATATATATATATATATATATATATATATATATATATATATATATATATATATATATATATACATATATATATATATATATATATATATATATATATATATATATATATATATATATATATATATATATATATATATATATATATATATATATATATATATAAATATATATATATATATATATATATATATATATATATATATATATATTATATATATATATATATATATATGTATATATATACATATATATATATATATATATATATATATATATATATATATATATATATATATATATATATATATATATATATATATATATATGTGTATATACACACACGAGGCTTATTTAAATTTTTATATATATATATAAATATATATATATATATATATATATATATATAGTCTTGCATGTCTCTTGCGTAGCATCAAAAAATATTTCCCATAAACTGTAGTTTTAAAGAGCGCGTTAATAAACCAGACCAGAAAAAGTTTTAAAAATTAAATTTTTTTTTTTAATTGATAGACTGCCTGGCCAAACCAAACCCTCAGTCGATGTAGCAGCACTCTCTTGCGAGTCAGGCTATTTGTCAGTCGTTGTAGCAGCACTCCCTTGCGAGTCAGGCTATTTGTCAGTCGATGTAGCAGCATTCCCTTGCGAGTCAGGCTATTTGTCAGTCGATGTAGCAGCACTCCGTTGCGAGTCAGGCTATTTGTCAGTCGATGTAGCAGCACTCCGTTGCGAGTCAGGCTATTTGTCAGTCGATGTAGCAGCACTCCGTTGCGAGTCAAGCTATAAGATAGTCGATGTAGCAACATTTACGCATGTTTAAAAAATGTTTTTTATTAAATCAATAACAAAAACACCACTAATTAAAAAAAACTTTCTAGTCGTTATAATTGCGGTTTTTTAAAAATTTGTTAAAAAACAATTAAATTTAATGTACTTCCGCATAAATTAATTGCTTTGACATTTCGACGACAATCAAAAACAGCTTAAGAGACGAGTAATTAAAATTGTAGTCGTAAGAGACTTTTTTTACATTAAAATGCTCTTAAAGAGACACTATATGAGTATATATATATATATATATATATATATATATATATATATATATATATATATATATATTTATATTTATATATATACACATGTATATACACATATATATACACATATTATTTTTATATACATATAAAAAAAGGAAAATTTACAGTTGACGAAAAACAATTAATAATTGTATCTAAAATAATAATTAATTTAATAGATATTAATCGTATCTACCTGTTAAGAAATCTGATTTAGATCATTGTAAACAACAAACTCTTGTCGCCATTATGAATTAAGTTTGATGTTTCATTAATTAATTGATTGCAAACAGAATCCTAAATAACAACTTCTAATAAAAAGAATATTGTAAAGTAAATATATAATAATACAAAAAAAC